ACCCGCTGATGCCTATCGGAACCCCGGTATGACTCTTTCGGCGGCGCCTTATGTGATCTTTAATCCCATCAATATTAGTCACTATCAACTTAGATGTAGTCAGGTATGCAGATATTCTGCACATGATGGAAAAAGGCATCAACCCTGCTCACGAAGACAGGCTTCTTGCCTGGTATCCGCCTGACAACCAGATCCATCTTGATTGGCCGACAGTTATATGTGATAAGTTCGGTATCATTGTCTTCTGGTATCTTCCTGGCGCAATTGATCTCGCCATACAGGTAAGCTATCCTCAATTGCCAAATGATTATATTGACTGTGTTAGAATGACATGGTGGCGGCTACTGCCATGATGTCAGTTTCACTGGCTAGAAGTGTGACTAGCAGTGCCGCCACAAATGATAAATGGAGGACCCATTCTTCAAACTTTTATCCTAGTGAAAGTGGCAGCACTCCGGGGTGTATCAATCTGTCCCCAGCATGGTTTTTTCAAGGTCACCCAGTGAGTCATGCCTCATAATTATCGGCATTCATTCCCACTCTCATAGGCACCAAAATTTTATCCACATGTCTCAGCAACTCTTGAAGAGTATGGACAGTCTTTCTGTCAGACAATGCAGAGACTGGTGGCGCTCATCGCCGCTGCCTTGAGAGTGATGCACCCTAACCTCTATTGGTCATCATTGGTAATGAAACTAGCCTTGGGTCTCTGGGCAGCTGATAAGAAATTAGACAAAATAGGAGATCGTCTCAGAGAGTGAGCATCCATATTCACAGTACTCGCTATCGTGTGCAACTGGCATTCAACATTGCATCGTGATCCTTTATCATGTCCACAATGGTTTGATGTCATGACCACCTTCGGCAATTATGGAGTAGCAACCATCAAGATGCCAAATCTAGGCATTGAGTGTGTCTACCTGGCAGGTTCTATGGTCGCCAAATTAGGGCAAATTATTAGGCATGGATTGGATATGGCCGACAGCAACCATACAGCCTGGGTCTGGTACATGAGGGATGATGTTTACGATTTTGTGGATATCCCATAAGCGGGCTACTCCAGGTACTGCTCCGTGGTCAATGCTCTGTAGAAGTAGTATGAAAATCAAAATATGCTTAATAGAACTGGCGCTTCACTGAAGGCTATGTGCAGAGCCAGCCAGTGCAGGCACCACCAAATAAATGGGACATGGCAGGCACCGCCACAATGAATGGAAGCAGATTAGCAGGTGTTTCACTTCACTTCTGCAACACCCCTCACCAGATGATTCCTCACTGGATATTCTTATATGTAGGCTTTGATAACTGATCACTGTATTGTATAATCAAAGGGAAGGGGAAATTACAAGTATTCAGGTATCTACATTTCTTCGCCAGACTGTGCCTCTGCCTGGTCAACTTCATCCAACAAGGATTCCACTGCAGAAAGAACCCTCTCATGAACCTGTGCAAGGTGATGCAGGCTAATTAGATCTTTGAAGATCCTTGTTAACTGGTCTCTGCTTTTACAGAATGCCATGAGCATCACCCTATTGCTCTCCAATACTTCATCTGGCTTGGGATCTTGGACGTCATCTCCTGGGCCCAAGGCGCCGCCAACCATCATCTGTGCCAGATGATCAACTAAGAGATATTAGCATGCACCATGCTGTGTCAATGAAATACACTTACATTCTTTCCCACCAAGGCGATTCAGAACATCTATTGCTGCACACTTGGCATCACCCAACAAAGATTTCAGTGTGGGCCGGTCCAGATGCCTGCCGGTGTGGGACAATACAAAAGACATGGATGGTCCTGGTGCCGCATCTGGGATTGCAGGTGGCAATCCAACACACCATGAGGCAACATATGGCGAAAGTCATGGTACGCGAATGAGCTCTGGTTGCCACTCCCCAATGGGGGAGGGAGGCTCACATCCAAACTGGAATGCTGTACAGGATGGTCAATACTAACTAAAAGGAGATTATGTTACTTATATCCATTATTGATATCATAACCAACATGCCTTGTATCTTCCTGGGCCGGCACCAGTCTGGAGCTTGTTGGCAGTAGGGTGACTGCCATTGGGAAATTGAAGCCAAGGTTGAATGGCTTTGTTGTTGGCGGCGGTGGAGTTAGGGCCGGCACTAGTCCGGAGCTTATTGGCAGCAGGGTGACTGCCATTGGGACATTGAAGCCAAGGTTGAATGGCTTTGTTGTTGGCGGTGGCGGAGTTAGTGCTGGCATACCCATGGACTGCACCAGAAGATTGAAGCCCAGGTTGAACAGCTTGGGGGCTGGCTGTGTGGGTAGAGGCAGGGCAAACCCCAAGTTAAATGGTTTTGAGGTGGGGAGCGCCGGGGATGAAGGCGGTATGGCGGCAGGAATGCACAAGTTCATGCCAAAGTTAAACCATGGTGTAGGAGGTGCTGCAGATGGAGCTGCGGTGATATCGAGATCCATGCCAAAGTTTAATCTTGGCACCATCAGTGGCTGTGCAATAGGGAGAGACATGCTGAAATTGAAACCTGAGGGTGTTAGGACGGCGCATTGCCACAGTTGGGGAGATCAACTCATGAGGGCCACCGACATTCGCCGGCATTCCAGCTTCACTGCTATAGGAAGATTTGTCTGTTTCCATGGGCGATTCAAATCATACTTTTGCTTGGTAAGGGCAATTGGAAGGATGTGACATGTGATGTTTGACAAGAATGAAGAATTGGAGGGCTTTATCCAACTGATTATATATCTGATCTGGTTGTGGATCACG